ATGCACCACGAGATCTCCGTCAGGTATGTCTCGAACGACGGCTTGCCCAGGTCGCGCTTGCACGCCTCCTTGATGAGCTCCTCATTGTCCTTGAAGCCCCAGTAGAGCTTGCGCAGCTGCTGGATGCGGTACTCGAGCGGCTTGGTCTTGTGCGAGAGGAAGCTGGCGCGGACTTTGGCGCATGTGGGCGCGATGTCGTCCATGGGCGTGTGCTCGAAAGGTGCTATTTCCGCCATTTTGAGCTGCGATGGTCGTCCTGGATGTTCAATGGTAAAAGTCTTGGATAGGCCTGGGGCGTCGAGGTTGGTTCAAGAGCTAGAGAGACGCCAATGGCGGGCTATAAGGTCCAAGGCGGAGGTGCAGGGCGTCTTGACGGCGTGGTTTCACAGGCGCGCAACTGTGCCTCGGTCCCATCCGGTTGGTTCAGGAGCGGGGCTCGCTCTAGTATCGACTCGTGCTAGCGCAAACCTCCCGCGGCCCCATCTTCCATGTGTTCGTCCGTCAGCCCTTGTACCTCGCCGTGCATCACTCCAATGTCGACCGAATCGACTTTCTCTTACCCTCGGATCGGAATCCTTGGCAATCATTACGCATTACTCTGCACCCAGACCAATTTTCAAATGCCTTGACAAGGACACGCACTGGTATCTAACACTGTGTATTTTGTTATGTCTGCTGAACTATCCATACCTAGATACTTGGTACACAGATAACATACACAACTGCTGCTCGATGTCCAGCTCATGTCTCCTCAGCAGACTATGCATTCCCCGCGAGTTTGCTTCGATGTGGAAAGCTCTACGAGAAGAACTTTCGCTTTGCGTTGACAGCCCCTCCGGGCAACACGCAGTATTCCCTGTCACCCAGTCCTCGACCCATCCTCAGACTAGGAGCTAATGGGGCAACTGAGAAGACGCCCTTGATTGCAATGATGCAAGGGCGGCGACGTCTCGTACAGTAGTCGCATGCGTACTGTCCCGCTTCGCCTTCAGCCGGCCACTTGCACATCTCGTTCAGTGCTTTCTTGAACAAGCACGTCCATCTGCCTTTTATACCATTTGCCTTGCTGTGTTCCACCTTGTCCATGTCACGATCAAGTAAATTCAGGACACTGAGGGCCTTGAAGATGGTCATATAGGCGTCGGCACGCACAGATGCGTGGATGGTGGTGTCGCCGTTATCCGTCTGGGCCTTGATCGAGAAATTGCTCGGCACCTTCTCGTCAGTCATGGTACCGTTCCTGATGCCCATCAGGAATCCTTCGATACGAAAGTTCAAGGGAGACGAAGATGAGGCGCTGTGCTTTGCGCGTGTCTGAGCAACGACGGCTGGTTGGGACTGCAGTAGTCGGTAATCCGCACTCGTACCATTTCCAGTCGCAAGAGTTCCCAATTTGCGCCGCTTGACGATATCCAAATATTCGACGACTGTTGGAACGATGATCTGAGTCTTGATTTCTTGCATAGCATCTTTCTGGAGGTCGGGTACAACCTGCCACATGGCCACCAGGGACGGATCCGCATCTCCAGCGACAACATCGTCAAGCTCAGGTTGTACGAAAGATTGCATACCCGCGGCATAGCCTCGATCGTCTGTTCGCAAAGTCGTTGATGCCGAGCGCTTTCCGAGAACGACGCCACGCGGAGTAGATCCCAGAGCGGCGTGAGCTGGTTCGCTCTCCAGTGTGTCTTGTGCGTCGGACTGATGTGCTTGAGTATGCATCATACGAACATCCTCCTGCACCCCGCCTTCGAGCCAGTCATCCAAATTTGAACCTGCTTGTCGCCTCTCCCTAGCTCGCAGAAGCTTCGAGACCTTCTTCTGCGCCTTGTTGGTTTGCTTGATGTGTTGACCTAACGCTTGCACACTCGCCATCGTTATGAGATCTGGGCGAAGGAGCATCGAGCGAGCATGCTCTGATGGAGTCGCCGTGGTCATTAGTCCCTCATTCTGCAGTCCTTGAGCTACTACATCTTCTAGGAAAAACAGGCCAAGTCGCTTTTTATGACGGAAGTCCCTTGCCCACTTCTTCGACAAGCCGGTCGGCTCGTTGATGCGGTACAAGGCTGTGATGATCATTCGAATGTCCTCAACCTTCGGAAGGTCTCCGGAAATATACCAGTCTTCGGTGAAAGTAGAGCGTTGGAAATCCTCTAGATCGTTTGTGGCCTTGATGTTGTCTTCGTCTTGCTTTTCGGTCAGGCGTCCTTCAAGCACGCTATGCGCATGTTCGTAGGGGTTTGCGGGCTCAACAGCTTCTTGCTTAATGACTGCGTCCGTTGCCAGTTTTTGACGGGTGTATCTGGAGGGACCTGAGGCTTCTTCAATCGCTTCCTTCATCGGTGGTTGGGCGTCAGGAAGTCGATGTGTAAGCTCGAGAGGACTCGGAGGTGGCTGAGCTAGCAGCTGTCGCTTCTTTTCTCGAATTGCGCGCAGTGATGCAACAGTAATCGGCGGTGAGGTGTTCCGTTCCGCCATCCTGCGTGAGTCGTCACAGAGGGTGGCTTTGAGGCGGTGGTATCCCTGTATGGGTGTGTGTGGGAGTTGGGCGAGGTGGTGAAGCCCATTTGTTTGCCAAGACAACGTGGGATAGCAGCGGTGGAAAGAGCACCCGTGGGCAAACCGGCGGCCTTGCACCTCACGAAAATGATGCAGTTCCTACAGTAAGAATATCTGTTGGGGTACAGGCAACCACACCTCGTGTGGGAGACTGCCTGCCACTGCTTCTCTGTCGACGCCAAATAAAGCATCATGCTGTTGCATGTGAAGGCATCTGGGTATGGGCTGTAGCTTCCGAGATCAACTCACTCACAACATCGCTCGTACCATGAAATAGCAGGCTGACAGGATCTGTTCGCTGCTGATCAATTTCCGTCTCTCGATAGCGACAGGCGTACGCCTGGCTCCTTGCCACGACCCCAGTGGGGCACATTAGACCTCACAAAAGCGATGACGTCCAGGCAAGGACCGAGATACACCATTACCGGATGGATCTCAAATGATTCTTTGTCATACCGAGGGATGGGTAGATTACAGACATGAGCATATACTTGGGGCAGGATGGGTTGTTGCTGACGCTCGGCGCCTCAACGGGAAAGCTCGACGCTAGCTTGCAGACTAGTCCTCTTTAAGCGATAGCCCCCTTTCGAAGACGCGTCCGGTCTTAGAACGCGTCTAGCTATGAGTTCCCGAGGTCATCGCGTTCGCTTCTCTCACGCTACGTCCTCCACACATCGCATCTGCTTGCGAATCATTTCGTCCACGATCTTCGTCTTCGTCTCAAGTCTGTAGCGATGCGCATTCAATGGAGGATAATCAGAGACGCGACATTGGAGCCTAACATGAGTGCAGTGCCTGCGACTGATTGCCAATGATGTCATGCACGGCTTACTTGTTGCTGTATGTCGTTTACACGCATTTGCTGACAATTCAGACATAAGGCGCATTCTCCTACCATCCGCGCCTGTTGCATGCAAGATTATAAATGCGCTGCATTACAAAGCGAGAAGCGCATCCAACAGCACCTTGTGAGATGTAGAAGTACCCGGAGGACCTGGCGACGTCGAACTTCAATACAGTTATACTTGCTACTCCAAAAAAACTCGTCCTTGTTTCGATTGTCGAGCAAAATGACATTAGCAGTTCGCCCGGTTCGTGCTGCGCTCATCGGGCTGTCTTCTTCAGCAAACTCGTCGTGGGCCTCGGCAGCCCATCTCCCAGCATTGCTCAGCGAAACTGGACGCTCCAAGATCACCATCACCGCGCTGGCTAACAGCAGCGTTCAGGCTGCGAAGTCTGCCATCCAGAAGTATGGACTTCCGGACCATACCAAGGCATACGGGTCGCCAGAAGATCTCGCAGCTGATCCCGACATCGATCTGGTCATATGCAACACCCGTGTTGACAAGCACTACCAGACAATCCTTCCCAGCATCAAGGCAGGCAAGGACGTCTATGTCGAATGGCCAATCGCCAGCAACAAGAAGCAAATCGATGAGATCGTCGAAGCGGCCAGGAAGAGTGGATCGAGAGTTGCTGTGGGCTTACAGAGACGATGGACACCACCAGCTGCGAAGCTAAGAGATATCTTGAATGATGGAAACGGTGGACTTGGAAAAGTGCTCAGCTCAGACGTGCGCGCTTTTGGGGGCACAAATGATAGGGAGACGATGCCTACTGGTCTGAAGTATTTCTCCCAGAAGGATATCGGCGGAAATGCTATTGTGATAGGCGTCGGTCATGGTGAGCATCACTTCCCAGATTATAAGTCATTACTAACTCTTATCAGTGCTCGACATCGTACTCTCAGTTGTAGGCCGACTTGACGCACAGTCCGTTTATTCGAAAACGCAGCTCCAGCGCCCCAACATCCGCATCCAAGACCCTCAAACCAAGCAAACGGTTGAACAAGTAACCACCGAAGTACCCGATTTCCTAGCCGTCAGTGGCACTCTAGCGCAATCTCCTCTCACTGCCCCAAATGCAACTCTATCCTTCCTGTTCCGACGCGGTCAGCCCTTTCCCGGTACCCCAGCTCTGACATGGACTATCAACTGCGAATATGGCGAGATTCTTATTACATCTGCCACGCGTATGACTTTCCAAATGAGTGAAGGAGATGAGCCGGTCGTGATACAGGTGCACCATTTCGATACTCATGAGGTGGAGAATGTTGATTGGGACTGGAGCGATATGCAGAAGAAGGTACCCGTTATTGGACGAGATGTCATGACCAGTCTTTTCGCGTTCGCGGAGGGCAATGCCGAAGGAGAGGGATGGGTGGGCTTGGAGGATGCAGCGACGTATGCGCAGATGATTGATGGGTTCTTAGAATAGTAGCAGAAGGATCAAATAGGTTAGAAGCGGGGCCCACTTTTTCCCTTGAACGAGTGTGAGCGCGTCTCTCACGTGGAATACCGCAAAGTGGATCCGAGCTCACCAGGTAATCGCCCAACGATTTCACAACGCGGTCACTCTTTCCTGTTTGTCACACACACGCGATGGACGACACCGGATCTCGACCGCCCCAACAGCCAGAAATGACGCCCTCGAATGCGCGTACGATAACTAAGGACCTGCCAGTCAAGTTGGCCTCACTTGACCAAGCGCTGCAGCCATTTCGCCATTCCTATACCCACACGGATCGAATTCTCGATGTATTTGGTTTGGTTCTCCAACGCGTTTACGATTGTCGCGAGAAGTATCCGGATGCGCTGCCATCAACAGAGTACCAACAGCACATCCATGCCCCATGGATTCAAACTTTACAGTGGCTTCGCGATCCCGAAGCCTTTCGCTATGCCGACCCGGAATCACTGCAAGTAGCGCAGCTGATGGCCAAGCAAGACCCAGTCCGCATCTGGTTCGAGCTAGACTCACATGTTCGACAAGATATCCTCGGTGGCAATCCATACGATATCGTGATAGATCTCGGGCCAGGGTACACCCAAGTCGAAAGGGGAATGAAGTGGCTGGTTGACTGCGCTACTCTCAGTCTGTCCAAGGAGTCGCTCTCGACGGAGGTTAAAGATACTGCGGAGGCAAATTTGACGGCTGTCGCAACCTGCGGGCCGGTCTACGGTTTAGCGGAGTCGACTTCTGCTCCCCATCATTCCCACGAGCTTTTCGGCCCCGGAGGCGTATTGTGGTCGGTAATGGAGGTCTTCACCCGCGATCCGGGGAACTTCAGCGGTATTGTGGGTATACTGGATATGGTCATTCAGCAAACTTTGAACGTTGCCCTCCTGTTCAGATACTCTTTGGAGCACGATGGCCGTGCGTTCAATCAGCAACCGGCATACAAGTGGTACGCGATGGGCCTAGAGGAAGCGCGGGCGAAGTACATCTACTCTGTGGAATGCCAAGATCCCCAAGCACTGATGCCATTTCATGTTCGAAATGGCCTAAAGAACATCGACTTCATTGGGCTTTGGGACGCTATATGGAAGAAGGCATACGATCTGAGTCGTACTTTCACGTCCGATCCACTCGTTCTGGAGATCTGGATGTTTCTCTGGGCTGTGCGACAAATGAGGCTTCCATACTCCGATCCTAGACCCTGGATACCGGGTGCCAACGTAGCTCTTATTATCGAAAGGCGGTGTAAGGAGTATGATATAAACACAGAAGGCGTCTTGAGCATCGCACCAGATGACATCTCACCAGATGACATCTATCACTTCGATATACCTCCAGAAGACTTCAAAATTTCCCATGTACGAAGTGCACGTGAGACATATACTGACTTCGTACACCCACTTCTTAGGTTCCATATATCAGGTTTCTCCAACGAAGTAGATGTGGAAGCTATACTGCGCAGCCGAGGACCGCGATTTTCGTCCACAAGACGGGGACATCGCTTCTATGACGAGGATGACGATCCTGACACAGCCGGTACGGACGATGAAGAAGACGAGAACCTGAATCCCGCCATCGATGATACCGCTGACGTCGAACCCTACGGCCCTCCTCTCGATCTCATTGATCTTGCGGCTACCACAACAACAGTTCCCGAGGACCAATGCTGTACAGTCTGCATGGAAAACCACTCACACAGTATCAGTGATGGGGGAACTATGAAGCTCAATTCGTGCGGACATCTGTTCCACTACAAGTGCATCTACGAATGGCTGAACGGAACATCCCCTAATAGCAACCTTTGCCCAGAATGCCGTATCCAGTTCAGCGAGCAGCGTAGACCAGTACGACTAGTTCGACCGGCATCAGTGTCGCTTTCAGAATCAGAACCAGCCAGGCGTACGTGGCCTGAGAACGCCAACGCTGAAATTGAGGTTGGGGTTGAAGAACAGCAAGATCGAGCTGATAGCGATGCCCAGAGCGTGTACGAGAGATTTCAGGATTGGGATCCCCTTGAAGGTGTGGATACCACCTCCTTCGAGGAAGAATGAAGCCTCTGAAGCCTACATTGACGTTAGGTCACCTAATTATCAAGTTTTTATAGATTGGCTGATGAAACGCCCACCTGCCACCTCGGCCTGCCCTGGATGTCGTGTGTATTTCATAGTGTAGCATTATGTATTGTGCATCGTCTTCGCGCTCATTTAATAACTAACGGCTTAGCACCAACTTTCTCAGCCTCCGCATTCAGCGCATCAAACTCCGCTTGCACCAACGGAATACCAGTCTTCTCTCTTTCCTGTTGTTGCAACTGTTCGAGCTCGCCTGGGAAGTAGATCCTCTCCACACCCGCCGCCTTCTCCGCACCAGTAACCCTATCATACAAGATCTGCATCCTCTCCCTGAAGTCATCCAAGCTCATGAAAAGATCTGGTTTCACCGCGACGAGGAAGTGACCGACATCTGATGGTCTGGAGGGGTCGTAGGGATTTGTAACGTCGCCTGCAAATGCGGAACCAGAAAGTACACCGGAGAAGACGTCCATCATAACAGCCAGACCCGAACCCTTTGGTCCACCCATAGGTAACATGACACCACCGTCGAGTGCTGCTTCTGGGTCATCTGTTGGTTTTCCATCTTTGTCCAGCGCCCAGTCCAGCGGTATCTTCTCACCCCTCCTCTTCGCCTTATAGATCTTTCCTCTTGCTGCAATCGACGGCGCCATGTCCAACACGAAAGGCTGCTCTTTCCCCGGCGCACCACATGCTATCGGCGAGACACCTAGCAGCTTACTCTTCCCGCCCCAGGCCGGTAACGCAGGGCTCGAATTGGTAAACACCAAACTCATCATTTCGGCGTCAAGCGCTTTCTGTACGACCCAAGCACTCATACCGAAATGATTCGAATGCTTGATGCTCGCCATCCCGATACCATACGTCTTTGCGGATTCGATGCACGCAGCCATGCCGGCGTCTGCGGCAAGAAAGCCGAAGCCATTGTTGGCGTCAACTTGGGTGACCACTGGCGTTACTTGAGTAAGTGTAGGTGTTGCTGCACTGTTCAAGACGCCTTGTCGTACCCGCTCCATGTATGACGGGATTCTGTTCATGCCGTGGGTGTCGACGCCACGGAGGTCGGCTGCTATGAGGCATTTGGCAACGATGCTTGCGTTCTCAGGCGCGACGCCATTACCGACCAGGACTGAGGTTACGAAAGATCGTGCATCTTCGGCGTTGACGTAAAGCTTCTTGTCTGATGTGGGTTCTGTCATATTTGTATTGGATGTTGAGGGTTGATCTGCCAAGGTGGGGAAGGAACGAAGGACTGCTTATTATGCTTGTCTCGTATCTTATATGATCCCACAAGTGTGATAGTGAGTCACAGTTCTCGGAAAAGCATCTGGTCACTAACGCGTTCTGTTGAGCTGCGGATATAGCTAGGGAGGTTGTCTGAGTCAGCGGATGTAGACTAGTGAAGACGGACTTCCCCGCTGTTCCCCGCAATCCTCAATCGAACTTCACAAACCTCAGGATGGGAGACATCAAGCTTGAATCAAGTTCAGACTTCTGCGTGCATGAACCAAGCTTGCCGAGAGACATCATTTACGCATTGCGAACAAGTCGTGCCTGACGTCCTACTGACCGCTGATTGGACGCAGGGGAGCGCAATGGTCAAGAATGGATATGATGGCCTCACTCAGTGAGCGATACTCCGAGCGGGTCGTGGTGTTTTAGCTGTCGACGATGACTGAGTGAAAAGTCTCGCAGTGACCTCGTTCTTTCCTGTTTCGTCTCCTAGGTTGTCTCGGTCACAAACAAGACCACAACTGTTTCGGCGCCACTCATCGCTCATAAGTCTCTTCCAGAGCTTTGATCCCTATTGGAAATTAGAAGAAAGGAACAGAGGTCTACCTGGTGAGAACGAAGTCGTCGAAATCACTGGACGCAGCCACTGCGACTTCCCCGGGGCCTCTTTCCCCGCCAAGCCGCACGTGCTTGCTCACAACCTTGGAAGCGCGGGTAGCTGCACTCACATCTCACCTCTTGTCGCCTCAATTCACTGAACCCCCTGTCGAAATCCCACAGAACTCTCGAAATTCGCAAACATGGACGACGAAGGCCCTAAATGGCGTCTTGGTATGTTGTGCCGCATCCCTTTCTCAGTTTCTTGGCTAACAACTTCAAGAGCAGGCGAGTACTGGCCGCGCAACCTGTAGTCAGGCCGCCTGCAAGCGCAGTCAGATCAAGATCGCGAAAGGAGAGCTACGTATCGGTACTCACACGCTGTTCGAGCCAGAGGCTAGATGGTACATGGCCTGGCGTCACTGGTAAGTTTACTCTCGTCTGGAGCCTCCTGCGCCTCCCATGTGTATACTGACATAACAAGGGGCTGCGCGACCAAGCATCAGATCGCGGGCTTGAAGGAGACCACCGGTAACGACCCGACGAAGGCACCTGGCTACGAGCGACTCAGCCCAGAGAGCCAAGAGCAAGTACGCCTAGCCTTCGAGGGTCAGCCAGTCGACAAGAACTTCAAGGGCATCCGAGAAGACCTGGCCAAAGACGCTCAGCGATACGCCAAAGAGTACACTGATGTCAGCTTCTACAAGGTCGACGTTGCCGGTCGTGCGTGCGCTTGCCGTGGCAGCGACTGCCTGTCTAAGAACGTGAAGATCACCAAAGGTGAGCTGAGGCTTGGTCTATCCGTCCCGTTCGATGGCGAGCACGAGAGCATGGTCTACAAGCACTGGCAGTGCATGTCAGCGTTCGACTTGGAAGAAGCGGTTCGCCGAGCCAGTGAAGACATGTTCGATGGCCGTGACTCCCTTTCCAACGAGTTCGAGGAGGCCGTGACCAAGACACTCGAGACTGGCAAGATCGTTAAGCCACCGGCGCCCGATATCGAGTCGCGCGCGAAACCAAAGAAGGCCAAGGCCCAGAAGAAGAAGGTCAAAGATGAGGCAGAAGAAGACGCCGCAGAGGTCGCAGAGACCAAAGTCAAGGCAGAAGATCCGGAACACGAGGTGGAACCACAGCCGAACGTCGCCTATCCGCCCTCGCCGCCGATCGAGATGGAGAAGGCACCAAACACAAGCAAGGTCGGAGGAGGAGTAGATGCTCATGAGTCGACTGAGTATGGACCAACTGTCGGTGTCAAGTTGGAAGAAGCAGGAGTCGATGACGCGGTCAAAGCTACAGATGCAGCAGCAGTTCCCAAGCCCAAAGCCAAGAAGACGCGAGCGAAGAAGCGTCCTATCCGAGAGGTGGACGCAAGCGAGGATGAGCCCGAGTACATCCCCAAGAAGTCGAGAAGCCGATCCACCCCGTTTACCGGTACTGCTGGTCTTGCATAGCGCGATGGCATTCCGAGCGAACCTGCGATCAATCAGGAGAGCGTGTTGAGCACTGAGAAAACGAAGGAAATGACAGTGAGGTGGCAGCTGACTGAACATGTACAAAGAGCACATACATAGCTGAAGGATCTATAGTAAGCTTCTTTTGAATCGTAATACCCGCGCGATTGATCTTGACCAAATCGTCGACACTGTCGTAGGTCGCGTTGACTTCGCGTCACAGCTAGTTCCCTGACGCACGACCCACCTGAGCTCGAAGTGGCGCATCCTTGCCGCAAGCTGTCCTCCCCGCAACACGCATTACCAGCACAACTCCACTTCACGAACCACCCTACGTATTCTCCCTCGCCAATCACTCAGAAGCTACCTCGTTTCAAGAACCTATCCACTCGATAAAAGCCACGATGCCCGGCAAAATCATACCCGTAACCTCCGCTTCGCACTTCTCCCAACTTCTGTCGCAATCCAAATACACTATCGTCGACTTCTACGCGGATTGGTGCGGACCATGCAAGGCAATCGCGCCAGTCTTCCAGGGCTTGGCAGAGAAAGAAACAAAGCCAGGCAAAATGCAATTCGTCAAGGTGGATGTGGATAGCCAACAGGAAGTTGCAAAGAAGTATGGCGTCAGCGCGTACGTACACCCAGAGAGACACGCCTGCATGCTAGGACGGAGGAAACTGTAGATTCCTGAGCTAACATAAACACTGTCCAGTATGCCAACCTTCCTCGTCATCAAATCCACCTCCGTCGTCGAAACCATCCGCGGCGCCAACCCCGCAGCCCTCACAGCCGCCGTCCGTAAAGCCGCAAACGATACTTCTGGCCCGGGTGCTGCCTCCGCTGTCTTCTCGACCAAAGGCCGCACACTTGGCTCCGCTTCAGAACCCAGTCGGCCGGTTGGCGAAAGCCCGTTCGCCGGCCTACAAAGGATGCTGACTGGCAATGGTGGACTGAGCGATACGTTGGTCAGGTTTGCAGCGCTGTACTTTGTCAGCCTGTTCGCGTTTGACTCTTTCAAGGCCGCGGAGGAGAGTCCGTTCAATGTTCGCGCGAGACGGTAGAAGAGGGCGGGGAACACGGAGTGATAGCACGTATGCGGAGGTTCGGCGTTTAGGATAAGAGCGTGGCGTTTGTGGTATACCATTCTGAGGTTTAGTGTTTTCACATTATTGACATTATTGGCAGCAGCGGTATTGAAGAGCTCGTTCTGGCTTCTAGGTACCGTTGATTACGATATCATATTCACATTTGGATTTTGAATCCACTCTGATTCTAGTAAAATTGCTCTTGACTCATATGTCCTTCACATTTCTCTCTGATTCTCAGCTTGACCTGAAATCGCCAGAAGGAAAGTCCACGTGTGACCATCCATGACTATGTTGTCAAAGCAAGCTTTGCGCAAACAATCACGATATACTCCCCTTATATCCACCTCCGCAACACCTCCACTGCACCAAACGCAAGATCTACAAATGATGGACCCTTCTTCCGGCTTCACGCCCAAGAGAGCTCTTGCTAGCTGGTCGCACGCCGAACTCTTACAGAACTACCGCGAACTGTACGCAGAGTACGAAAAGTCCGCGACGGTCGCCGCGCAGTTCGACGGCCACAGGTTACCCTTTGGACGAGAGCGCAACCTTCACAACCTAGTCAATGCACGAGCGAAGGTGGAGCATGACATCAAGAGGCTCAAAGGGGCGTACCAAGAAGAGTGGATGAAACTAGCGTGTCAGAATCTCGATGCGAAGCTCCGTGAGGCACTCGAACAAAGTCGAGACACACTGGCAGCTGTCTTGGATGAGAATCGCCGTCCTCCGGCCGATACGCTGATGAAAGAGAAGGCAGAGTTGCAAAATGAGAAGAGTAACCTGCTGTTGCAGTTGCGAGAGTTGTTGTACAGATATAAAGAGCTGCTGGAGAAGCAGAAGAAAGGGGAGAATGATTGCAATGTCAGCAATGTGCAAGAGGTGGAAGGCGAGAGAGACCTGCTTCGAGAAGACCTCGACATTGCTCGGGTGGAGTGTGAGAAGTTGAGACAAGAAGTAAAATACCTTCAGGAGATATTCGGGGTAAAGGATTAGTATCGATGTTTTGATTGTAATTGCAAGGAACGTGTTTAATGAGCGCATGCATCAATGATCGCTGAGCAGAACTACTTGACTATGTAACGGTCCAAATCAGTATCTATACGAAAATACTGGTTTACTCGACGATGAGCTCGAGCCACTCGACGAGGGTCTGTCCCCATTAATCTCAGCCTTATCCTTCTTACCCAGCACAACCCTTTCGCACCAAGAGCACCAACTCCTCAGCTCGCCCTTGACCTCTCGCTCAAGATACTGAATCGATTTCTTCTTCTCGTCCTCAAACAGCTTGACGCATTCGCCAACGCGCACCTGCTTCTTGTGTTTGACCTTGAGCACACCGCCGATGCCTTCGATCTCTTGTGTAAGGTAGGAAGAGCCCCTCCAGCGTTCGGGTGACTCCGGAGTTTGCGACCTCTCTTTCTCGATGGTATCGAGCAGGTTTTGCTCGCATGTCTCGTGCTCGACGATGTGTGCGCCTAGGCATGCGGAGCCTCGTCCGCATTCTACGCCTTCGTTTCCTTCGCCGAGGCCGATGCCTACGCCGCCGTGCATGTGGCTGTACATAGTGCGCCAGCTCCAGCCGCGCACGTATGTTGTGTCGGCGTTTCGCAGGTCTTTGCCACATGGCGCGCAGAGCCAAACTACGTTGTCGCAGTTGCAGGGTGTACGCTCGAAAGCTGGTGCGGTAAAGGCACGCGGCTTGTCGCCATCGAAGTGCACTGGATGTGTCTCTGGTGACCCGGGTGGCGAAGGGGACGTCGACAAGGAGCGCTGCTTCTGCACAGCCATGAGCAGTGTGAGGGGCGCTTTGGTACACGTGCGACATAGCCGGCGATGACGGGCTCTGAGTGTGGGCGTTGGTGGTGGCTTCATGGTGCAGTTCTGCAAGACCTGTTAGCCCTATGCCCTTTCACTTGCATCTGGATGTCGTACCCGGCATACGACTGTCCCACAACGTTGACAGTCGCCCACCATGTCGCGGGCGCATTTTCCAACGCGCCCAGTCGTCAGGCGGCTCTCCAAGACATGTCGCCCCTCCTGCAGTCGCGAACCAAGCTTCTCACTGAGGTCATCGTCTTCATTCTCGCAATGAAGCGTATGTTTGACCAGCTGGCTGCGATATTCGAGCAGATTCGCGCGAAACTGCCTGCAAGTACGTGAGAGGTCGTGAAGCGTGTTGAGGTCGAGCTGAGCAGCGAGCTGACTGACTATCCTGCATAGTTAATGTGATTAGCATACATCAAAGCGCGGAATCAAGTCCATGCTATGGCTGGAGCGTACGGATAACAGCTAAGTGCCGCGCTGAATCCATTGATATTCGGGTTCGGCCTCTCCGCTGCTGTCGTCACGTCGTCTGCATCAAGGGAGCGACGCGGCGGCAAGACGTTGAACCGGCCGGAAGATGGATGGGGCGTCTTTAAATTGGGCAGTTCATCGTCTCCCAGATCAACTAGGACCACCATGTTTGGTAGCTACAAAACGAGTGTGCAGCATCGAAGCCAGACAGGGCTTGAATGGAGAGAAATGAGAGTCGTGATGGAGACTGCGATGCCGGAGTCATGACGAACTGGAGACACGCTCCGTCGCGTTGGTGGGGGGCTTGGCGGACAGCGGCTTTGCTTCCGTTCGTTACGCGTCGCAGTCGTTCGCTCTTCACTCGGCCCGTGACGTGGGTCCATCATCGTGACGCGAGCTGTCATGGTTCTGGCAATCGACGAATACATCATCAGTCACACTGACTTCTCGGGTTATCGGCACGCAACGAAGAAATACAGTAGATACCAATTTGACCGAATGCACGCCTACCACGGGGATCCAGACCGACATGCCAGGTATTCTCAGAGCCTCCTTGGAAGCCGACCGCAACATTGGCTGCGGTTTCCCCTGGAGGAGCCGATCGTTATACGGATCCACTTACTGATCCAGGCACAACTAGTCATTCTGAACATGCTGACGGTACGTTACAGATTCAATTTACAGCTAACTATGTAGCCAACCACTTCAACGATATCCACGTCGACCAAACCCTTGACTACCGTACCCACGCTGCCCCCAATCTGCCTCACGCCTGGTCATCGTTAGCCCGTTCGCCGCACGCCCAGTTACCGGATTCCAACTTCCAGATGCCCCGATGAAATTCTCTTCGCATTGCTCAGGTGGCGGGTGAATACGGCATCCTTTGGGGTTTACCGGCCCGTACCAAACGACATCGTGCGGTAGCCCTTTCCTGAGAACTCCAATCTCTGCTGCTCGTCTCGCAGTCTCCCTCTGGCCATCCTGCACTCGCATACTTTCAGGGTGCAGGACCTGCGCACGCACAGTTCTTAGTTCGTGGTTCGAGTTGACGAAGTCTTTGCCTAAGATATCCATGCATCGCTGGATATACTCTTCTCTCTGTATCTCCTGGCCCTGAAGATCTAGGATGTGTACACCGTCGTATTGTGCGTGGTTGTTAACTTCAGGATGTGAGTACGCATCGCCGTGGGTTTCTGGTTGTGCGCAACGACAGAATTGGGAGTCAGTGAGATTTCTATCGTAACCGGTATAGTGGACCCGTGTCTGTCGTCGGTTGACTACCTGCTGTTGTGGGACAATTGCCAGTTGTGGAACGAGGGCCAGCTGCGGGTTCTCTGCCTGTACACTATAAGACACTGGAAAAGGTACTTGTTGTGAGAACGTAATGTTGTAGGTGTACCCCGACTGCCTGTAGGGAAACATGGCTTTAGTTTCTTTAGAGTAGCAGGCGGTCGTAATGTTGTTATGTGGTGAGAGTGTGAGGATTCAGAGTTGAGCAGCCTAGGATAGGCTTTTATACCTCGATCATGTCACTCGCAATGGCCACGTCGTCTCCTTCAGATCGTGTTATACTCACGTTCACATCTCCAGGCTACTGTGACATCTACATTCCAAGAAGAAGTTGAAGACCCTGTAGTCTATTCTTCATGCACTGCACACATCACCTGTGGTGGCGGAGGTGACAATGACTCACAGCTAACTGATTAGATGTGCCAAACCGTTGGATGTTTGACATTATGTGAATAAGGATCTTTGTTTATAAAGGCCGAACTGTCGTGAAGTTCACAAAGTCTTGATACGAAGACGGAGAGTCGAATGGTGGAAGCGAAGATGAGGATGAACGCGACTGGTCACTAGCGTCGTGGCATTTGTGGATCGATCTGAAGGAGCGATGCGGGTTCTCATGCATGTCACAATCGCTGAATGAGGGGCATTACTGCATCAACACTACGTCCATAGAAGACCCTGCCGAACTTCACACTTGTCCCTGTTACCTTCCATCCACCATGGCGCATGGTACGGGAGCGGTGAACCGGCTTCGGCTCTCCACGACGCTGACCGAATCGGGAGACCGCGATGCTTACTAATGACGACAAAGCCATCACATCCGTCCAGTGCCAGACATGCGGGTAGAGATTCACTCCTGCGACACGGCATACTCGCAATACGATACTGGCCTCACGGGCTTGACGCCCTTTCCATCCGTAGTTTGCGGGTCGTAGCCGGACGCTAATGCAACGAGCCCGTACCGCTGGTCCCCCATCTGCAGCAAAGTGAGCTAGATGTAATCTTCTATAAAAGCAATGTGTGTGATTTTAAGGAACACGTAGTCTAGTCTCTGCATTCTCTGTCGATATAACAATTGCACAAAGCAACTGTGGTCTACAACGCCTACGAGAACCAGCTAGCAGCAAAGCATTGCGACAAGATACAGTCCTACCATCGAAGCATACAGCACCATGACGACTTTCCTTCTTCGTGACATTCGCATTTTCACTGGCGAAGAGACTATCGACGAAGGATATGTTCACGTACATGATGGCAAGATTAAGAGTGTCGGACCCATCAGCGATGCGCCGCTCGAACCAGTAAAGACATATTCGAAACCGGGCCACACGCTTCTTCCAGGCTTGATTGACTGCCACATCCACGCAGACAGGGCCGATCCCGAAGCCCTACCTCAAGCGTTGCGCTTTGGCGTGACTACCGTTTGCGAAATGCACAACGAGCTTGAGAACGTGCAGAAGCTGAAGAAGCAGACTTTGGAGCCAGATACTGCTTCGTACAAGACAGCAGGCCAGGCCGCCACCATTGAGAATGGGTGGCCGATACCAGTAATCACGGCTCACGACAAGAGTCCGGAAACAGCAGCGGCGATTGCAAAGTGGCCCAAGTTGACGGATCAAAGCAGCGTGGTGGAATACTTGGAGTGGACGAAGAAAGAGATGCAACCAGACTACATCAAACTCATGCACGAGAGCGGAACTAGCATGGGCCGCGAGTTCACCTACCCTTCAGTCGAACTACAAAAAGCGATCATTACAGAAGCCAAGAAGCGAGGTTACCTAACCGTTGCACACGCTCTCTCCGTGCGAGATACTCTGGATGTTCTGAACGCAGGTGTCGATGGCCTCACACATACGTTCTGCGACCAGCCACCGACCCAAGAGCTGATAGATGCGTACAAGAAGAACAACGCCTGGGTCAATCCTACACTTGCTGCTATCGGTAGTCTGACCACTGAGGGCAAAGAGCTGCAGCATCAGTTTGCACACGATCCTAGAATCAAAGGGTTGATCAACGAAGACTGCGTGGGCAATATGTGCAAGTGCATGGGGTTTTGTGCTGAGAACGGTAAAGCGGAATACGCATACGAGGGCGTGAAGAAGCTGAGAGAAGCGGGTATCGATATTCTCTGGTAAGTGCATTGTGTGTATCCTATTGATCAAGTGACTAACGAACTGTAGCGGCAGTGACTCAGCAGGTCCAGCAGTAGGAACGGCGTTCGGTCTTTCAATGCACCAAGAATTGAATGTCTTCGTGCACAAGATCGGCATGTCACCCGCGGAGGCTTTGCGCTCGGCCACCAGCCTGGTCGCCAAACGTTTTCAATTCACTGATCGCGGTCGTCTGGCGGAGGGACTCAACGCAGATTTGCTCCTAGTTGAAGGAAACCCGCTTGAAGATATTGACGCGAC